TGCTATGTACCAACACCATCTGATAGGTAGGTGGTTGTTGGTACTGATTCGAGTGGCCTATAACTCCACATATAACGTGGTTGGAGAACCTTACCGGTGCGCCAGCAGCGTCTGCCTGAGCATCCCGCTTCTTTACATCTGACTGCCTACCTCTCACTACCTTTACAGACTGTACCGCGGCATACTGTGTGTAGTACCGGCCGGTCGCAAGCCTCAGCTAATGTCTTGACAAATGTGAAGAATATCACACGTTCGCCTCTATAATCCCGGCCTATTTCCCACAGAGGGTTTTCTATAGATACGGATTAATGAGATAATGCATTGAAAGAACTTTCGTATTGTCTCAGACAAATTCAGCCAATTTGCTTACTGTCGCGCGAGAGAGTCTCTGGCAGCCTAACATGCGCAGCTGAGACCCCTGGCACACTAGCGCTTCCTATGTAGCAACCTCGAGCTTTGTCCCAGTTTTTATAGAGATTGCCGGGGCCTGTGTTGTTGGTGCTCTTGCTATATATAAACAATAATTCCATGGTACACGTGTGGAGGAAGAGCTGTATCTGAAATGATTGGAATGGTGACGATGGAAGATACGTCCCAGAAATGACGACTATGATGGTGATGAATAATGAAATCGTTGATGATGTGCAGTCTGAGTAAGCTTACTATTTTACCTTTACTGTTTGGATCTATAATTTGTACACCCACACATCGCGCGCGTTGCACCCCCCCACCATTGTCATCTTATTTTAAGCTGTGAAACACGTTCTTACGTTTAAGCATTTTTGATTGTTTTTAATCCTTTATTGGGTAATAAGTAGGTTTAAACGTAGTTTGGTTTATAACGCGTTGTTTGTTTCTAACGTCGGGAATATTGAAGCACCACGATACTTACGATTTCTACTCTAGGGGATACATTTTTGTATATATTTTCCCCATTAACCCGAGTAAGTCTATTTAAAACCTATTTTTATATCTGTTGATCCTCGCCCTTGCTAATGGATCCATTACGGCATCATCTATACCCAACCTGGAGTTCCTCACTCTCGTATGCTGAGAGAAAGAAAATTAGGTGTTGATTAGGTGATGTTAGTCCTGGATCGATCTCTGATGAACCATTTAAGTTGGTCTTTCCGCTTCAAAAGCTTTCAGTTCCTCCTTAGGCGCAAGAAAGCGCCATAAATGAGTACTGGCGACGCGCCTGACCTAAACGACACAGCCAAACGAGGTCGAAAGCCGCCCGCCCTGGACGCGAACAGGACGCCGCCGTGGGCGAAGTTCTCGGGGATTCCCTCGGGGCTCGCTTAGCGGGGTCCACCGCCACCGCTGCTCCTCGTCTCTGGAGTTCGTCGTCCTGCTGCGTCGACCTTTCACATCCGTGCGTTGTCGTCGTCGCTCGTCCACACCCGCTGACGCCGTCCTCGTCGCGAAACACTCCTCCTCCTTCCTCGCGTGGCTCCGCAGGCTCGTTTAATTCCTTTATTGGGTTAAAGTAGGTTTAAACGTAGTTTGGTTTTAAACGTTGTTTGTTTCTAAACGTCGGGAATATTTGAAGCACACGATACTTAACGATTTCTACTCTAGGGGATACATTTTTGTATATATTTTCCTTAACCGAGTTAGTTATTTAAAACTATTTTAATCTTTGATTCTCACAAGTATGATCTTAGGCATCACTTGTCACTGATGTTCTGTTTACTTTTCTGATGCATAGAAAAGAAGTTCTACAGTGTTTCATTAGTGGAATTGTTATGATGTGAATGGTGTACATATGGTTATAATCAGTTTTTTCCCTGAATTAGGGACAACCAAAGATAACTTGATGCACTCTCATCCTTAAATAACAGTAGGCCCTACTACAAGTTTCGCAGTTTAGTACAAAAATACCATACTATAATAAGTTTCACAGTACAGTTTTCGGTTGAAGTGTAACTATAATAAAAACCTATTTATTGAACTTAGAATACTACCCTGTTTTGTCTATTTACTTTTGAATCAGTGGTATTCCTCACATACACAGTCACATACACACACACACACACACACACACACACACACACACGTATATACAGCAATATATGCCATAATTTAATTAATACAGCATGTGACCACCAAGATTATATTTATTTTTATTTTGTTTATTTATTTATGCTTGTTAACAATACAGTGACAGAGCATGCATCATTTGTACTAGCATCATCAATACATTTGTACATACAATAAATTTCTTCACTTTACTGAGATTATAATATTAGGTATAGAGAAAAGCATGTATGAAACAATATGAAATAGTTAATAGCTCTGAAATATTGACTAAATTGTTGTGATGGTATATAAATATATGGTTGAGGATTGTATATAAATATGAGTAATTTATAACACTGAAAATAGTCATGTGTTTTTTGTTAGAAGACATATTTTGTTATGTTGAACTTTAGATAGATTGTGCATAAATTTGTTTTTAATATTATCTGGACATACTGAGAAAGAAATTAATAATTGTTTTAATGCACCAACAGGATGAGGAGATTGAAGAAGACGGGGATTCAAAGAATGCTGCTGAAAATAGTTCAGAGGAGACTGGGAAAAAAGGTGAGCTTGTGGATTGTGCATCTGTTGATTGAAACTTTAAGAAAAAAATACCATTCCATGACTGTCAACCAGATTTATTTCCCATATTTTTAACGAAAATGAACTCTTGGAGGCAATAATTTAAAGAAAGACATTTACACATGACTCTTGTTACCTAGAATCAAATGCCTCAGCCAATGATAGGGAGTATTTGCTTTTTGGGAGTCAGAACTGTAATGCCTGTAACAATTTACATGCATGCCTTGCTTGTAGAATTCATTTATTTATTATCATTTCAATATTCATTGCTTCTCGTCTGATTTGCTCTGTGCTGACTTAGATGTGTCATTTACACTTCAAAGAAATAGAAATAACTTTGCTCTAAACTGCACTTCCGGTGAGTTGTAAGGCATTAGGATCCGATGTGTAGATAAACCTCTTCCCAAGCTCTTAAGTGAAATATCAAACCTCTTAGTGTTGATTGAAGGCTTCACTCACAATTAGGACCATATGTTATATGCATTTCTCTCCATAGTCAAGAATTATGATATGATCTTTGCCTTCACCACATAATTTTTCACATTTGTAAGCTTTCCTAAAAGAACATATATCTTTGACTTGGTGCTCTTCGCTAGGTATTTGTCAGCAAAATGTTAAAGATGTACTATTTTTGTCAATACAAAACACAGATGATGTTGGTGAAGTGTTTATGTAAGTGATCAATTGCTCCATGTTGTAGCTTTGTACCTGTGTTAAAATTTAATATGTGAAGTAGTATTATGTGTCTTGTGCTGTGTTTGCAGCAGCCAGCAAACAAAAGAGGCATCACTTTCCTTCCAAGGAGCACCCAGTGCCGTGCGATGTCTGCAATACCTTGTTCACGCGGGCAGATGCCTTACGGGCCCATAAGGCAACCCATACGGGTGAGACACCTTACACTTGTAAAGTGTGCCAAAAGTCATTCATGAAGGCGAGGTACTTGCGTGAACACAAGCGGTCACATACTGGTAAGAAACCCTTTGCTTGCGATCAGTGTTCAAAGACATTTACAAGGTCGAATTTCCTCGCGGAGCATCGCCGCGAGCATACTGGGGAGCAACCTTTCAGGTGTGAAGGGTGTGGTAATTGTTACAAGAAATCAAGGTACCTGAGAGATCATAAGAAGTCTTGCCGGAAGCTAAAAGCAGCAGTTGTTAAAGCAAAAGGCAAGATAAAGGGTGTAGTGTAAGTTAAAGAACCTTTTAAAATGGATGTTCAAGCAGAATAGATTTGTGATTATGTGATCATTTCTACTGCTTCGGTACTATCAAACATTTTGTGAATGGTCCCATAGAAGCATTGTTTTTTTTTTCAATGTATATATTAATAATGCCCATTCTCATGAGATAACAATCTCTTTGGTGTGGTTCAGTGAAATGTAAAAAGTCGAGATGTCTATATCCACCCTTTGGCGAGAGTTGAATGATGTTTAAAACATGATGAGTTTTTGCGTTGTGTTTATGGCAGGGATGATGGGTTGAAACCATTGTTATCCCATGTAATCTTCCAAATCGTCATTCTTCTCTATATTATTGTTCAGAAAAGCCAAATACATTATATGTACTGGATACCCGAAGTTGTGGTATTTTGCCACTAACTCCAAATGAGAACATTCTTGCTTAATTCAGGATATGAAACTGCAGCCCTTGTTTGTTCTGAATCTGCCATTGCTCCAAATCCTTGGACCACCAGGGTTGGTGCTACTCATTCAATTTTTTAATGTATTTGTAATTAATGATACCTCGACGAAATGCAATTTGGAGTTGTTTAAAGAAAGTTTAAAAATGAATGCAAAGTAAATTACGTATTATTTATGTAATATAGCATAACATTTTAAGTTAAAATGTTTACCATTGAATATTTAATGTCTTGAGTATAACATCCTATCATATTTGTTCATTGTGAGAGTAAAAATTCTAATAAAATTGTTTAAAAAATGAAATCTCTTTTTTAAATTGTTATTGTCATTTTCAAATGTGTATTTTTCAGTGTAAGAGTCTCAAACTATGTAAAGGCAGTGAATCAGTTATTACACTTTTCAGAAGTGTCTCTCCATTTGTTGGCTGTATTTTATATTGCAGACCATTAAAATTTTACTTTGTAAATGCTCCTTTGGCTAACATTTATTTTAAATTTTATTTTTAAAATGCTTTAATTTTTAATCACTAATTAATCCTTATTAATACACAATTTGCTTAGAGGGCAGTTGTGCCACAATAACTTCATCCTTAATTTGGGATCTATAAAATCATATTCTTTGTGGTTTTTGGTGTTTGTATTTGACTAAATAGTGAAATATCGTTCATATGAAACAAATTTTTTTGTTTCATATGTGTTCCTTTGGTATGTTTAATCCATAACCATACCTAAAGAAGACAATGCTTAATGTGTTCCATAAAATCTCGTAACATCACCTTGGGTATCTTGCCAGTTATTTTCCCTCAGATGTAGATTATTCAATTAACGTTACATTAATGTGTACATTCTGGCAGTAGCAGATTTTCAACACCAGCCGTATGTAACTAAGTCAAAGTCAGCCATTTTCTATAGAAGAATTCTAGCTGCTGACTGCTCTGATCAGTAGTTTACCGTGGGTTTTCTGGTTAATACAAGGCAAATGCCAGAGCAGTACCTTTACATACGGGTCATCACACGAGATCTTTCCTTCCTCTTCCCTGTCTGATCCTCTCCCCTCTCACACACACGCTTACGTGCATTACACTAAGATACATCCTGGGAGACCAATCGGGAGCGTACACCTTGTACCAGCTGGGGTGGTGCCCTGCTGTTGGAGTCATCTAAAGAGCTGCCCCGCACACTGTATAGGTTAATGCCAGATTTTACCATATGTACAGCAATTTATGGAACTCTGCCCTGACAGGTATCAGCCGTTAACAGTTTTATCCAAACAGCAACTTGAATGACACAATAATGACGTCATTGTGATGACGTTCAAGCTCCCGATTGGATGAAACCATCAATATCTGATATTTGCCAGGGGCAGAGTTGCGAAAATCACAGCATAGTGGGGGAGGAACACTGCCACTTATCACAATACACTACACTAATGGAACTAATGATGCTTCCAGTTGAGTGGAAACCTCAGTCAGAGAAGCAAGGCCGTTAGCCTCTGCCTTGAGCAGGGATCCTCCTTGCCACACCTGCCACAGCTCTTGCACGTAAACATAATTATAACGAATGCAGTCAATGTGTTTGTGGGCACCACACCTTGTGTCAAGAAACAATGTGCTGATTCAAAACTAAGTCTAATGTTAATTTATCTCAAAATCCAAGGTAAGTTTTTCCTCATTTCCCAGCCTAGCACACGTGGTATTAAAACCTACCCAAATCCAAGCAACATGGGAAGAGGTGTTGGATTGCGGCTGGCCACATCAGCTATCCCAGCAGGTGGTGTGCAGAGAAAGGCCCCATCAGCATCCTAGAGACAGGCCACACATCTCACACAGTATTGCTTAAAACTTCCGAAAATCTAGTTGTCATTCAATTAAATGAAAGTTAATAAGCATTATTGTGAAATAATGAGAATGATTAATTCATTAATGTATATTTGTATATTGTACCACACTTCTTTGTCTTTGATGTTCGGGGTTTATGTGATGATGCTTACAGTGTTTTTCTGGATTATCTAGTGATGTCCAATCACAGTAGCTTTTTCAGTGACTTAATGTACACTTGTTGCCACCAACTCGGAATGAATACATGAAGGGGATAAAGCTTCGTACCATCTGAACTCTTCTGCCAGGCATTAATGATTCTCAACAACAAAATTTCATTTCATTAAAAGAATCCAGACAGTACAAGTAGTGAATTGAAAAATATCAGAAGTTCAGGAATGAAATCTACTATTCGCATTAGATTGCCTGTAAAAGATCATGCAATAAAGAGCTGCTTCTGCTGTGGCCCAACTGTCAAGCCCAAAGAATGGTAGAATGTGTAAATTGTATCAGTCTGTAAATGCCTGGTTTTCACAAGTGTAGTTTTCTGCTTGGAAAGTCTGAGTAATAAAAAATGCAGCAAATGTATTTTTCATCTTCCCAGCTAAGTTTTTTCTGAATGAAACTACACATTGTTGAAATGTTATTAGAGACTCTGGTGATGTTGATTTTAGTTCTATACTGCTGTGCTAAGCATAAATGCATATCTCGAAAAACTAAACCTTTTGCTCTCCATTTGTAATTCATTTTAGTGAATGTATATCCATTAAAGGCATTCTTTGATTGTTTTTTGCTGTTAACAAGATACTGCCTTGTTGCCTAGGAGAATCTACTATTGTTTCAATAACATTTATAACAAATTCCCGCCTACAGGAATATGGCAGAGGACGTTTTAAATAGATTCTATGTAGGAAATGTAAAATTAAAGCAAATGTTTGGACCCATGCTTTAGATTTACCATATATATATTGTCTTGGTATAATTAATGATCCTTTTCATCCCCTTGAACATTTGTTGAGGCAAGAAGCAATAAATCCACAAATTTATAAACTATTTTATTAAATCTAATAAAATGCTTAGTTTTATCTAACAGTGGCTTTACTGACATTTTGCAAATTAAGAACTTATCTGATCTTCGTTAGAAACCATTCTTATTATGTATCGTGGTTTCCTCTCATATATGCAGAATTATATAAAAAATGTAAACTATTAACCCAAGTTCTTAATTTTTTTGCATGGAAAGAAACTACCCCTTATACCTAATAGACCTTACTATGTGGAAATTGCAACATAGTTTTGAGATTGGTTACTTACTCTATAGAGTCGTACAACAATATCCTATTTCTGTATAAATTTGATAAGAGAAATTGATTGTATGATCTTACTTCAAGAATTATAATGAAGTGTGACACAACAATTAAGCAAGAAAACAATTTTGATATTCTATTGGTGAAATTAAACAGTCAACCCAAGTATAGTAGTTTGCAATAATTTGAAAGATTTAATATTTATTAATACTATACTACTATATTATTAAACTAACTAAGTTATTTTTCTGAAAACATTAAAAATGAATCATCTGATTTTGATTTGATATCGTACTTAATTTATGTCTCAAAACCAAGTATCATGAAATGTAGACTTGAGCAGCCTGTAGAAATTAATCGATTTAGTGGGGAAACTTTATTAACAGGTACTTTACATGAGGGTAAATGAGCTAACTAATCATTTGACATATTACATTATTAAAGTAAGATTCTCTTGTAACAAGAGTTTTCTGTATTGGGAACAAAATGTTGAATGTTTACAAATGGAATGGGCAAAAAGTTTCTTCTGTAATATTGTGGCATTTTCAGAAATGTCTGTAAATAAATATAATTGAAAACTAATGTACAATCTTTAGCTATTAGAGCGCATGAGCTAAACAACTTTTTGTGTTGCCTGTTAATTTAAGAATATTAGTTTTTGACTAAACTGATGACTTATGATGGAAACATTTATATAATATATTTATATAATATATTTTATACACCACAGGTAAGCAAAACAAAAAAAAAGTTGTGTTTTTTTATTTAAATTTTTTTGATTCTTTAGATATTACTTATAACTTTGTTGGAATATTAGACCATATTTTTCCGTACACTAAAACATGCCAAGATGTAACTCACTTTTTCATTGAAAAACAGAAATGAGGACAAGGCAGGAAAAACTATTTGTTGAGCATTGAAGAGGTATTCGGGTAATCCCTTAGTAACCCTTTGTTGCATTTGGTGGTCCAATCACATGATTTTGTATTTTAAGGTGATTGTACTGACAATATGCATGATTCTATGTTTGAATATTTTTTTTAATGTTAACAGGTTTATATGTGGATGGAACAAGGGTAAGGACAGTTCAGGGGGTGTATTGTTTGGAAGAAAAGGGAAAGAGATAACTTTTACTTTTTGTTATCCACAAGTACGTTATTCAGGGGCAGTCCTCGGCTACAAGATACACGATATGAGGATGACAATGATCCATTTATTTATCTTTTTTGTCTCTTGGGGGAAAAAAAAGTTTTTTGTTGATTGGAGCTTAATTTAGCTAACGAGAAAAGAAGGAAATTGTGAGTGCTATTATATTTCACTTTCGTAGGGATATAAATGTCCAACTATGAATTGAGAGTGATTGGCAAATTAAGATACAGTTTTTTTTCATCGAAATATTTTGGTCAAATGTGTTACATTACATATAAGTAGAATGATGCAGACCAAACTCAGCTCATGCTGCAATACAATTTTATTAATTTTAATGATAATCCAAAAATATTTTTTCTTGAAAGTTTCGTGGCAAGTTACAATTAATAGTTAGTGATAAGTTGGAGAGGGTGGAGGTGAATTTCCCTAATTTCCAGCTCCATGGGTTCCATTTGAATACAGATATTTATAATTACAACACACGTCATCAGTATAAGCTCACTACAAGAAATCCTAATCTTATATAGGTTACATTACATCTCGTAGCCAGATGATCTAAAACAATATTGATACACACGTTTAAGTTTCAAGTAAAATCTTTTCTGCTACCTACTGTTTTGTTTGGAAGGAAGGGAAAAAAGATACCTCAGCTCTTTTGGAGACTACACTGACCCAAAAAAGCAAATTATATTTATTTCAACAACAATATTTAATGCTTTAGTTATTTGCCCTGTGTAGTTCCAAATGACTCGATGTGCTTATAACTAGTATTGTACGTCAGCTTCTGGGTAAGTGACTTCCCATTTTGATCAGGTTTTCCATCTAGTTTCCCTCATGGTGGAAAGAACCCTTGATTCATTGAGCAATACTGAGACGACCTCTTGTTTTGCATTTGGATCTAAATGTTGCATCCCTACTTTACTTTTCACATAATGTTGAAGTTTTCTTTCGATAGTTGAGGTTAGGCGAGAATTTTTGTGTGCTATTTTGTTAATAATACCACACTATATGTATTTACAGTAATACTATAAAATCAAATATATAGTTTATTTTCTGATGGAAATAAGTTTTCTATTAACAGGGTGAAAATGTCCATTTTCAAATGTTCCTAACCATGCTTTGTAAATCGTATTATTCAACTGTGTTTAGTAAAAGGTGGCGTAGATATTCTGGAACTCAAGCAAACATGTGCAAGTTATATGTCTCCCATGTCTCATACAGTATGTACTTTTTTTTTGACAAAAATAAATTAATGAAATTGAACTTGATATAGATAAGAGAACATGCCGTAATTAAATATTTCCTTGGGTGTTAGAATACGTTTTAACGTTCCTCCTAATCAGTAACGTTTTAAACATTTCACTTACGTTTTAAATTAGAATAAGATTACTTTAATGT